AAAAAAAATTTCTACATTGTTAAAATGGTACGACGGCGTATTCGTGCCATTTTAACAATGTAGAAATTTTTTATTAAATCGTTTGTACGATTTACTAAATCGTTTGTACGATTTACTAAATCGTTTGTACGATTTACTAAATCGTTTGTACGATTTACTAAATCGTTTGTACGATTTACTAAATCGTTTGTACGATTTAATAAATCGTTTGTACGATTTAATAAATCGTTTGTACGATTTAATAAATCGTTTGTACGATTTACTAAATTAAATCGTACAAACAATTTATTAAATTGTACAAACGATTTGTTAAATCGTACAAACGATTTAGTAAATCGTACAAACGATTTAGTAAATCGTACAAACGTACAAACGATTTATTAAATTGTACAAACGATTTATTAAATCGTACAAACGATTTACTAAATCGTACAAACGATTTACTAAATCGTACAAACGATTTACTAAATCGTACAAACGATTTACTAAATCGTACAAACGATTTACTAAATCGTACAAACGATTTAAAAAAATATTTCTACATTGTTGAAATGGCACGAATACGCCGTCGTAAAATGGCACTAATACGCCGTCGTACAAAATTGTAATTGTATTATTGCAATATATTGCATGAACTAGTCCTACATTTTATATTTTAAGTTTTTTTTTTTTTTTTTTTTTTCCCTTCATTTTTTACACCCAGTTTACAATTTAAAAAAAATGGAAATAAAGATTAATGAAATATGAAAATATGTCTTGTATTTCTTTTTTTTTTACTTGTCTATAGGCATTTAGTAAGAAAAGTTGAGAAATTATATTGATGGTCTTCTTTTAGAGCAGGTTTATTGTAAAAATTGTGAGGTTGTAATAAAATAGCATTGATTTCAACTGTCAAACTTTTAAATTCTTGATTACATAAAATTCCATATAAGGAATAAAATGTCAGAATGGACCTTAAAAGTTACAATGCAAGAACTCTGAATACACAACTTTGGATTCGAGAAGTCTCACAACACTAATTGTGTGATATAGAACTAAATCGCACGTTTACTTTGTTCGGTTTATCCTATTCGGGGAGTTAGGATACATTGCTTCACTTCAAAATATTTACAGGTACTTATAAAAAACGAGAACCACAGTGCTTGTCTATACATTTTGATCTCTTGGTGGTAATTAATATGTTAAGGAGGCTGGTGGGTCAACAAATTAATCACAAATTAACCACCAGATTTAACTTATTTCTTTTTTAGATACGGTAACTTTAGCTGTTAACTATCAATTGGCAAAGAAAAAATTCATACATTTTAGTTTTAAAATTTTATCATTTTTGTATATCTTTATATGGAGCTCTCCTTTTAAAGGAGATTGAAATAGTCTAAAAATGGCTGCCACCCCCAGCCTCTTTAAAGAACAATGAAACGGCATAAAAATTATAAATTACCTGGAAATGATTCAATTCAACAGTCTTAGACTATTTACCCAAGTACTCTATACATATGATAAACCTGTTCTCAAGCAGACTATTTACCCAAGTACTCTATACATATGATAAACCTGTTATCAAGCCGTTCAGCTGCACCGTACGAGTTTAATGCTTTTATTTCTAAATTGCTTAAATCAGAGTATTAATTTTAGGTATACAACTACCAGGTAAACTCATAAAAGGTATACTTTAGATATGCTTGGAAATCCAAAATTTTCATGGTATCATTGCCATATCTAAAGCTCGGCGCCACTTTGGTCCTTCCAGCCTTTGATTTTGATTATACTTAGATGTATAAATTGTGTATATACATGTATGTATTCATATCATAATTCACTTTTGATACGGTAGCCTAGTGGTAGAGCGTTCGATCGCTTCGTGATCGGGAGGCCCGGGTTCGATTCTCGTTCGCGGCGCCGCGTCATACCTATAAGACGTAAACAAAGGCAGTGACTGTTCCTTCACCAAGCGCTCGGCACTAAAAGTGAAAGTCACGGGTCTTTCGGATATGACCTTAAAAACGTAGGTCCCGTGTAACGGTAGGCGCTGGCACGATAAAGAACCCTCACTGCTTAATGGCCCTGAGTTCCGAGTATAGGTCTTTTGAAGCCCTTCACCGGCATACGGTGACGTCCCCATATGAGTGAAAAATCAGCTTAAAGAGATCCGGTATCTGACCCTCGGGATTTATGGAATTTAATCTCGTGACCAACCTGTATTTATATCCCGATAGATGTTTAGAAATGATACCTAATTTCTTAAATACCGGTAGTTTTTAGTAAACCCAAATAAACAAGAATTATTCCCCCTTGGCTGCCCTCCTGATGGTCAACCTGGTAATTTTCTCTCTTTGTACTACCGAGCGGTGGGTATAAAAATAATAAAATTGAAGCATAACGTACTACAAGGGATATGAAATCGGAGAAGGTTGTAATTTTAAGTCATTATAACCCCCGTTTGAAAAGTGGGAGGGTACATAGTAATCGGTATTTCCGTCTGTCCGTCTCGCTCTACGTCCGTCCGTCCCTCCGTCTATCTGTTACGCTTTGGGTTACCCATCTCTTATCCACAACTCCTCTCATACCACTGAAGGAAATTTAATGAAACTTTCACAGAATCTTCATTACATATTGCCATTGTGCACCTTTTATTTTACTTTTTGATTTGACATATATTTTGGATTTTCCAGAGCAAAACATGGACACTGCTATTATATTCATATGGGAGGCGGGCGGTATCATTTAGTGAGCTCATTGCTCACAGTACCTCTACTTTAGATTATATGTCTTTTGTGTATATCTATTTTTATATATGATGTATTTATCTGTTTATGTAGTTTTCTGGAGTAGAGATAGAGACTCGCTAAAACTCGCCTCACCAAAATGTGCACTACAAAGAGGAACAAATGCAGTACTTCGCTTGTATCCTATATGAATGAGGAGTGATATTATGAAATAGGCATAAAAGTTTTTTGTGTGAAGTTGAAGCATTTTTTAGGTCACCTGAGTAAACTCGGGTGACCTATTGCTATCCGTTTTCATCATGCGTTGTGCGTTAACATTTGAACATTTTCAGCTTCTTCTCTGAAACCACAGAACCAATTTCAACCAAATTTGGCATAAAGCATCTATGGTTAAAGGGGAACAACAAGTTTGAATTTCACGATCCCTGTCCTCCTGGGGCCTCGGGGATGGGGCGAAAACCACCAAAATTAATGCAATCTTTAAAAATCTTCTTCTCTACTCCTGGACATCTAGCAGTCAATCTGTTTGCATGATTGTAATCAGCATTGAGTCCTCTATCAAAAATGTGAAATTCATGGCCATGGGGTCAGGAGTTTTAGTGCTAGGGCGGGGCTAAAACTAGTATATAGTGAAAATGCACTATTTCTTTGAAAATCTTCCTCTCTGATCCTTGGTATTAAATAAACTAACTAGTTAGTACATAGTTATGATGAGCAAGGGCCCTAATCATCCAGAATTGTGAATTTTAAAGCCCCAGGATCGGGGGTTCTGGTGTTAGGGCAGGGCTCTATTGATTATATAGTGAAAATACATTAAATCTTTAAAAATGTTCTTCTCTGCTCCTGGGTATTAAATAAACTAACTAAGTACATAGTTATGATGAGCAAGAGTGCCTCTTCCAAAATTGTGAATTTTATCTCCCCAGGATCAGGGTTCTGGTGTTAGGGCAGGGCTCTTTTGATTATATAGAGAAAATACATTAAATCTTTCAAAAAATCACTCCTCAAAAAGATACAAAAGATTGACCAGGTAGTGATAGGACAGATTTTGATTCCAAATATAGAATGAAGCCATGAGAAAAAAATGTACAAAAATGAAAGAAAAAAATTAGCCCATACTTCTCCCACAGTCAACTTTTAAAACAAAATGGTTCAACCCCCCCCCCCCCCTTCCAACACAACCACCAGCACCGTAGTTCACCTTTCACCCACAGCCAAGTGTTTCAGCCAAACCTTTCCCCCGGCCCATCTTAAGATTTAGTTCAAATACCTGTACCCCCTTCCCAATCTCCACATTAAAAGTGGTTCATCAATCCTTCCATGGTCCACATTTAACTCTCTCCCACAGCCATAATTAAAAAGTGTTTTGTCCATCCCTTTCCTCCCGCCTGCTTAAAATTGGTTCAATGTTTTGTGAGATTAAATGATTAATGGAAATTTGCTTATCGTATGGAACATTGGAATTAGCATATTTTATTCCATAATAGGTTACAATTTGATCCAGATGGCATTATATAACACTAAATACTTGAAAATGAGAAATACAAAGAACTTTTATTGAGCTATGCTTAATTTATCACCTAGCTTCTTTGGATTTACATGTATATAAACCATTGTCAACTTTGTTTAGGAATACTGTAAGTCCACTACAGCTTTGTGGAGGCCCTCATAAGGAGAGTAAGAAGACTAGTGAGGCTCAACACGGGGAGCTGATAAGTTATAAAAACAGACGTGTGGCTACATACATGTATAGTGAAATGATTGATGTTGTCTATAAAATTTGATACAACTTTTTAATATTTAGTTCTTCTGACAGTGGGCTTATTTAGCTGATATCCCATGGAACTTGACATGTTAATATCTGTTGAAATCATTTTTGACCATGTATGTGAATTAAAATGAAAACATTTACAATTATTAAAAAAATTCTGATTCAGCTAGATTTCTCATCTTTGTTTTGGGTTACATATAATACAGACAAACCTATGAGTCCCAAAGAATCCATGAAAAACATGCAAATAAAGTGGTTAAAATTTATCTTGGTCAATTAAAATTCTTAAATAAATTACATATAACTAGATTAAAAGTATGTACATTTATTTTAGATCTAAGGGCATCTTTTTCTAACTGCATCAAAAGTACAGTATAATCACAACCCTTCAGTGTACAGTGCATGAAACAGGATCAATATGAGAAAAATTTAAATGTACATATTTTTTCTTTCTTCATGCTCGCAAATGAACAACACTCACTCCAGTCTTCATTTTGTCATTTTGAAATATTGAAGCTTTCTTCCAATGTAACGTTATATTATTGAGAAGTCATTTCAATCTTGGGTAGATTTCTGAAACAATTATTATTAAAAATTGAATTTTTTATTTATATATTATACCTTATTGATAATATTGAAAATATTTTCACACACACGCACACATCAACAGAAGAAAGTGAATTAATCTACATCTTGTGATTTTGGCTACTTGAAAAAATTCTATCACAAACATGTCATTATTTTAAAACATTGATTACATGTATTTGATTTTCATCACTTTACAACTGTCATAATCAGCCACAAAGAGGTTGTCTCTGGTGTCTACACATAAACCCCTTGGATACCGTAGACAACAGTTATCAATGTAACGGAGGAACTGTCCGTCCCGATCTAGGATGTGGATACAGTGGTTGTAATGGTCTGATGTAAGGATCTGACTCTGGCTGTCTGTTGTGATGCCGTATGGACGGAATGATCCCTTGTTAGAGGGATGACCAGTGTGTCTAAATCGGAGTTTTCCTGCCTGATTAACCACAACTACTGCCCTGGCTCCACTCTCAGCCACACAGATATCCAGGTTCTTGTTCTCACTGATGTATTTAAGGCCGCCAGATGAATACAGAGGTTTACCTTCACTATCAAACTGAATGGTTTGTTTCTCTGTGGAGCCAGAGTAACGGACAACTTTTGATTGTTCATAATCATCACTGACCATACTAACCAGGAGGTCACCAGAGCGGGTACTACAGACATTGTAAGGTATCCACCCCTGTAGTCTGATCACTTCCTGTGTCTGGTCATTCTTCACTATGTTTACAGTTCTTGCATTAGTCTCAGTATAAACTAGATCTCCTCTCTTTGTCACTGCTAAGTCACGTGGTGTTTTCCCAGACTTTGTTTGGATTGACTTCAATAGTTTGCCCTGGAGGTTGTAGAGTTTCATGACTTTGTCACTTCCATTTGTCCAGATTTCTTCATCACTGAGACAGGTAACACTGATTAGATATCTATACCTAGTGTCTATGGTGGTTATGAGTTCTGGCTCATCTAGTAGTGGTTTGGCTGGAGGACAGGATACAGATTCTGGTGTCTTCATTGTGTAGCCAGCTTCTTCTGTTGTAATTGATAATGATGACAGAGAACCAAACATTTGATAGAGCTGTTCTTTGTTGATCTGATGAGGGGAGAAACTTGGAAATGAAACATTGACTTTAGGAGGTAATCTTCTGAATTCAGCAATCCTTGAAGTATAGGCAGAGGTTAAGGAGACATCATTGGAGTCCAGTATTTTCTTCAGATCAAATATACACTGTGTTACATCAGAAGTAATCTGTTTGATTTCTTTTTCCTGTTTCTTTAGAGCAGCCAGATGTTTAGTTTTCATCTCATCAATTTCAGATTTCTGTTTGTTGACAATGATGTTAATTTCTCTGTGCCAGTCTTCTCCTTGTTTGGTGACAGCTGTTGTCAGTTTCTCATAATGTTTTTCCAAGTTTAGTTTTTCCCAGTATAAATCTGATGTAATTTCATCATATGTTGGAAGTTTTCTTTTTTCAAGTTCTGTCAAGTCATTGTTTAATATTTCTTTAATGAAGCTGGGATTCTGTAAGATATCTATTAATTTATGTCCATGATGTTTATCAGAGGAGATGCAGGAAGAACAGACAGGAATGTCACATTTCTCACAGTAAAGTTCACAATGTTTCTGGGTGTGGTTTGGACATTTTGGGTAGTTCACGTTAGGAGTAGATTTTCTGTGATTGTATGGTACAACATTGTGTCTTTTAGATAAATCAGAGAGATGCTCTCCTACACAGACCTTACACAGGTTAATCTGACAAAGTTCACAATGACTCTGTAGTGCAGCTCTTTGACACAGGTCACAGAGGAGGAGTACCTGAGCTCTGTCCAAAGGGTCCATAACTGGGGCTTTGTTAAAAAAATTTAGATGACCCTGTATAAAATATGTGGAGACATGGGTCAATGACTTCAGAAATTGCACATATTTTACGCAAATACAATACACTTGGTAAAAGTTATGTTTTGTAAGTGAATTTATAAGACAAAGTCAGTTTAGAAATAACAGGAGGATTTACATGTATTTGTAGTTTTAGAATGTCATGTAAACTTTTTTTATGTTACTATAAAGTCGAATCATATATATATATATATATATATATATATATATATATATATATATATATATATATAATGATATGATCTAAAGTGGCTCTTTCATGAATTTAAGCTAAATTAATGTATTATACATGTACTAGACTTGAGACCATTAATGACATCTGGAAATGTCTTGCAACAAGTTAAATTTTTAAAATATGATCCTTTCTCACCTCTAAATCCAATATGGCCTCCCGATAAACCCGTACATAATTTACTTCCTTGTCTTCATTCTAAATATTTACCTGTTACCAGGTCACGTGATTTAAAACCCTCAGCTATCTTTATCAGCCTGTGTGGAGAGAGATTTATTTTAAAATAGATTAAAATGAAGGGGTGGGATATACTATAAATATATGGTCATTAAACCAATGAAAATGGACTTTCGAGTCTCCCTGTCTATATTTCTATCCAGCTTTGTGTCCGTCATACTTTTTGTCTATAAGGAAAGACTTAATTTAAAATATTTTCTCTCTAAATATTGTGGTGGAAATACGTATAAGATTATTGTAATATGAACTAGATAAGTGTACCTGGGAATTTCAGATCAGTTTTTCCAAGTTTTAACGACCTTTCATAACTGATATGTTTGCTGCAGGCCTGCAGCAAGTCTGCTGCAAGCTTGCAGCAAACAAAATTGTTCGCAGAAAGAAAATTTTCTTGTTCGGAGATGATTGCCGCTAGCTGTTATCTTGCAGCAAACATTGCAGCAATTGCTGCAAGCTTGCAGCGAATTCGCAGGAACCCAACATGCTTGCAGGAACATTGCAAGAAACATACACGCCAATTTAATGTTCGCAGCAAGTTCGCAGGAAACATTTCATTCTTCGAATGTTTGCAGGAAGTTCGCAAGAACAGTAAACAAGTCATTAAATCAGCCAATGAAACGCAGATTGTACTGGAGTCAGCACAGAACTGGCCATTTTGAAAAATTTGAATTGAAGTTGTACACGTTTCAGTATTTTGCTAGGAATATACACCGTTTTGAATTATTAAAAGTGCCAAACTCTGGATGTACACGTGTAGGTGTTCATTGGCATCAATGATATCTAATTGGTAAGAAATGATTTTGATTTATTTGATACTTGAAAGAATATTTCTTAAAAGCACATTTAAGTTACTGGTGTAAGGGCTGGGTCAAATATAAATCTATATGTAATGAATTTCAGTCCTCTTTTTAATATCACATATGTATACTTCTTAAATATATAAATGGACCCAAATCAGTTAAATGTTTTCAAATTAATTAGTAACTGTAATCATGGTAACATTAAAAATTATATGTAAAGTTCTGTTCATATAAAAAGCTATCATGCACTTTAATTTTCAAAAAAGTTTGAAAACTTTGTCAAGAAACATATAAATCAAAGGATCAAAACTTTCAGAAACATGTGGTGGATTTTCCCTAAACTTAACAGATTTAGATCAAGACAAAAGCTTTCTGCGAACTTGCCGCTTGTACACAGGAATGTGCCAAAACCATAAGGAAATTTTTTGCTGCAAGTTATCAGCAATGTTTGCCGCAAGCTTGCAGCAAGGTTTCCATATTTGGAAAATCCAGTGTTTGCTGAAGACTTGCAGCAAACCTCATTTGCATGGTAAAATGTTTGCAGCAAGCTTGCTGTAGACTTGCCGCTAACTAGCTGCAAACACCAAGGCTTTGTATAGACTGTCATGCTTTCTTTGGCTACATTGCCGCAAGCTTGCAGCAATGTCTTCTGCAAGCTTGCAGCAATGTTTGCTGCAGACCTGCAGCAAACATTTGCAGGAAGGCAATATTTTCGGTAAGGGGATCGATCGACGGGTGACTTCATGCAATTAAGGATATGCGAAAAAAGCGACAAAATAAACCCTCAAAACAGACATTTCCTTTCAATTGCATGAATGGCCAACATCATAACTCTGAATTTATGCTATTGCATTAAATAAGTTTAAAAGTACATGTATTTATTTACTAAGAATGAATCTGTTTTCTAAGGCGGGGGTTATCACAATTTTGTCGAATCTTCGTACGATTATAAGGATGCCCTCTATTTCACTGACTTGAAAATGGGCAACAAAGAATGTATTTTTTTTATTTTAAAGGAAAATCACTTTCTCTTTTTAAATGGTTTAATTCCTAAATAAACATTTTCTAATTCCTTGAACAACCATTTGCGAGTCCTTTTCTGACCTTGTCAGTTTTATAAACTTCCGTCTGCATTACTCGTAGGCGTCGGAAGCGGGGGGGGGGGGCTTATTCCCCTCCCTCCTTTTTGCAAAAGATAGACATAATCCCCCACCAACTTTCAACAAGCACGTTTCAGTGTAGTCAAATGTGGATAAATGGTAGTGTACGGGGAAAAATCTGAACCCCAGAGAAAAAGGAATTTTCAGGTTTCAGGTGGGCATTTTATTTGCTTGTCAATTTCTTTCTCAGGTTTAAAAGATTTTTCTTTCCCCCTTCCAATTTGCTTCCGATTCTAATGTTAATACTAGAACTTGTTTTGGTTATTGAACTGAAGCAAATAAATAATATTATGATGTGTTTGTATCAATATTTAGCTCAATGTTTATAATAAGATTTAATCATGAAAATATCAGATAGCTAAAACAATCTCAACAAAAAGAAACAAGCAGCAGATAACGACAATCTCAACACAAACACACAAACAGTCAAACAGATAACGACAATCTCAAAACAAACAGTCCAACATATAACGACAATCTCAACACAAAGAGTCCAGCAGATAACGACAATCTCAACACAAAGAGTCCAACAGATAACGACAATCTCAACACAAAGAGTCTAACAGATAACGACAATCTCAAAAGAAAGAGTCCAGCAGATAACGACAATCTCAACACAAACACACAAACAGTCCAACAGATAACGACAATCTCAAAAAAAAAGAGTCCAGCAGATAACGACAATCTCAAAACAAAGAGCCCAGCAGATAAGAACAATCTCAAAACAAAAAGTCCAGAGTCCAGCAGATAAGGACAATTTCAACACAAAGAGTCCAGCAGATAACGACAATCTCACCACAAAGATTCCAGCAGTTAACGACAATCTCAATACAGAGATTCCAGCAATTAACAACAATCTCAATACAGAGAGTCCAGCAATAACGACAATCTCAACACAAAGAGTCCAGCAGTTAACGACAATCTCAATACAGAGAGTCCAGCAGATAACGACAATCTCAACACAAAGAGTCCAGCAGTTAACAACAATCTCAACACAAAGAGTCAAGCAGATAACGACACTCACAAAACAAAGAGTCCAACAGATAACGACAATCACAAAACAAAGAGTCCAACAGACAACGACAATCTCAAAACAAAGAGTCAACAGATAACGACAATCTCAACACAAAGAGTCCAATAGATAACGGCTTTCTCAAAAGAAAGAGTCCAGTAGATAAGGACTATCTCAAAACAAAGAGTCCAGCTGAAGACGACAATCTCAACACAAAGAATCCGGCAGATAACGACAATCTCAACACAAAGAGTCTAGCAGATAACGACAATCTCAACACAAATATTCCAGCAGATAACGACAATCTCAACACAGAGAGTCCATCAGATAACGACAACCTCAACACAAAGAGTGCAACAGATAACGACAATCTCAACACAAAGAGTCCAACAGATTACGACAATCTCAACACAAAGAGTCCAACAGATAATGGCAATCTCAATATGGAGAGTTCAGCTGATAACGACAATCTCAACACAAAGAGTCTAGCAGATAACGACAATCTCAACACAAAGATTCCAGCAGATAACGACAATCTCAACACAGAGAGTCCATCAGATAACGACAACCTCACCACAAAGAGTCCAGCAGATAACGACAATTTCAATACAGAGAGTCCAGCAGTTAACATTAATGTCAATACACAGAGTCCAGCAATAACGACAATCTCAGCACAAAGAGTCCAGCAGTTAACGACAATCTCAATACAGAGAGTCCAGCAATAAAGACAATCTCAACACAAAGAGTCCAGCAGTTAACAACAATCTCAATACAGAGAGTCCAGCAGATAACGTCAATATCAACACAAAGAATCCAACAGATAAAGATCATCTCTACACAAAGAGCACATGTAGCAGCTCCGGCTGGTTGTTTGGAAACCACTAGCGACGACCACAACATTATTATTGTCCACACGACACTAACAGTATTCATTATTAACAAATACTTTACATTTTTACTTAAGTTGTATGAATTAAGGTCAAGATCTAGTAAATAACTTGGGACTTATTTTTTGCTGCTAGATCCATTATGACGTCATAATCAATTTCAACTTTCTTTTTCCCGTACTTTACGGCTATAGCAGAATTATGAAGAAAATATGGTATTTTCATGTCATTCAATTCGAAATCATATGAAAAGTAAACCGGATATCTATATTAAATTTGATATTGATTCAAAGAAGAGGCCATGTACATACTAATTATCGTTTTCTGAGAGACTGTAGGCAATCTGGATACATTTCCTTGGCCGAATACGAAAAAAACTCCCATATTCATTGCTGGTTTTCTTAATTTTTCATTGAAAATGACAATTTAAAATGCTGTTTTTCATCTTGTTTACCTACAAATTATGCCCCGAAACACCTTATTTGACCAAGCTAAAGTTGTAAAGCATCAATAAAGGAATTTATTTCTCAAGTTTGATAAATCTGTAGGCACCTTTCCTTTACTAGATCTTGACCTTAATGTCACCTTTTCGGCTCACCTGAGCTGAAGGCTCACGTG